ACAAGGATTGTCAAGTTTGGGGCAGGTAACTGATCGAGATGGATTTCGAACGACACAAACTTGACAGAGTTGCAGTATTCGTGTGGCCAGATTTTTCGATTTCTGGATCTCATTATGTGTCATAATCGGGATGCTTACGAGATCACTTTTTTTTTCTTTTCAGATGTTATGCCAGTGGATATTTTCCCAATGGGCAATAAAAGAATTATTTATTGATGAAAATGACAGTGTTCGTGAATGGTGGTTCCGGTCTTGGCTGGACAGATATGTGAGTAAAACCTCTCTTTTAGTCGTTGTGTGGTAGAAATCCATTTTCCGCGAATTCTCCGAGTTCTTAGCTGACGTCAACAACTTTGTTAAGTAACATAGCATGATCTCGTGACGTCAACCTGGCGTGCGGTTTTCGGGGTATTTTTTCGTTTCTCTCATTGGGAAGTAAGGTTCGGCGAGTCGTCGGGTGCGTCACGAGGATTTTCCGAACCTTGTGTGCCGGGTTTACTTGCATTTTTCTCCAGTGGTTCCTCACTTTGCCTTGGGTTGTATTGTTAAAAGGTTAAGCAGGGAGCGCAGGGCATGGGACCTGCGATGTCTAGCATTCTTAGCGTTTGTTCTTGAAAACGGAGTTGAGAGAACTGGCATTAAAAGTGTTAGCTAATAGGATCCGCGACTAGTTCTTTAGGAAGTAATTTGAGGACAGTAATAAGAACAGTTATTACAGGTGAGTAATTAATTTTCTCTTTTATTATTTTTTTTTTTCAGATTGCGCTTTTTGGAATGGTGTTAGCCTTTGCATACTACACTGCTAAAAATTTCAAAATGTTCGACGACAGCAACAAAAGAACTTTGTTCTCCAGACCTGTAGGCGTTGCCTGTCTTATCTTTGCTATTGTGGCTCTTCTGGTAAGATAAAACAAACCGAAAAAAAAGCGAAAAAAGTAACAAAAAAAAGAAGAAGATAAATCAGAACCATATTTTCTTGATCTTAGAGAACTAAATAAAGAAAGAAATGGAAACTCATCAAATCTGTATTTAACCTTCGACGGATACAAGTAGCTGGTGTCAAACGCGGGGAAACACAGGCGCAAAAAGACTTGTTACAAGTGCGGGGTAAAAAATGTAGGAAAGCGCGGCTAAACGTGTAATGGGCGCCGAGCACGAGGAAAGGTATAACGGGTGCCAAGCGCGGCATAACGTATAACGGGTGCCAAGCTTGGGGTAACGTAACCGGTGCCAATACGCGGGAAATCGTCTTATCGGTGCCAAGCGCGGGAAAACATATAACGGGTGCCAAGCGCGGGAAAACTTTGCCTTCGCTCCTGATTGGTCAGTGCACGTTGAAAAAGTGAAGTTACTAAGTTTTATTTTTGTCTTTTGCAGAGTTACGCTATTCAGGCTTTGACGTGTAGATCAAAAGTCTCTTGTAACGAGACACATTCAACAGTATCATTTATACCTGTGAGTTTACAATGTGTTCTTAATTCCTTCCTCATATACCTTTTTTCTTTTCCCCTTGCTCTGAGTCTGTAGTATGTCTGGCTTGATGCTGCTGTCTTTTTCTCCGCCTCTGCTCATTTGCTTTCCTCCCAAATTCCAACCCAACCTCGTTCAAGGCTCTCTCTCCTTTGCTTCCCTTGTCGTTGAGGAGACAAGGAAGGCAAAGAAGAGAGAGCCTGGGAACGAGGTTGATTCCAAGCCACTCCGAGGCAAAAGACGATCACCTTGACAATTCTTACATTGTATTATTGGTCCGTAATGCGCGCATTAAGGCAGATTATCAAGTTTTATTGTCTGGCTGTAAAAAGAACCCAGCACTCTTCGAGTGTTTAAAGATTTTTCCAACACGGCAATTGCCATCCCAGCTATCTCTCGTTCAATCTCTATTTGTTCTTGCTTTCATTTCTTGTTTCCTTTATTTTGCAGATATTAGCCTTTTTACTCCTCAGAAATGTTCCTGGCTCGTTTCGGGCAAAATTCAGTAAATTTTATGCATGGGTTGGCACAATTTCTCTTGAGGTTAGCTGTCTCGTTAACATAACGTTTTACTCTTGCATGGAGGATATTACACGGCGGCGGGAAGATATGAATTTTATTTTCGAGTAGTAGAAACAACATTTCATGATCGAGCGCAGCAAGTGAATAAAATATTGTTTTTAACACGAAAAAAATAAAATTCGTATCTTCAAGCAACCGTGCAATTTTCTTTTTAGTATATAGACAAACTGGTGAAGGTGTAATTTAGGGATTACTAAAGGTTTTGTAACGCAGTTGGGATTTAGATCCTTCCAACTAAAGAAGGTCCTATAAAGGTACTTTGTAAAGGGGTTTCTCTTGTCGGGTCTCCACTAACAGTCACTTCCTCAACAACGGCCATCTTATTCTGTCCCAAGAGATGCCGTTGTAAAGAGAACCAAGGCGAAAGGCCTACCAAAAATAAATGCAACCATCTATAACTTTGAGTTGAATGCGCACAATTGTGTTTCTGTGACAGAAATGTTCTCAGTGCTGGGTTTTTGTCTTATTTTGCAGTTATTTATAGCACAGTACCACATATGGCTTGCACACGATACAAAAGGTGTTTTAGTCTTGATTCCGGATCAGCCACTGCTCAATGTCATACTCACAACCTACGTTTTTGTGTGCGTGAGCCACGAGATTCACAAGGTGTCCGGCGTACTGGCCAACGCGCTCATCACCAAAGATATAAAGACAATGATACGAAGGGTCCTGTTCTTCGTCTTCATGTTGATAATCATTTGGTGGCACAAAACCCGCCATGATCCGAAGCCGAGATTGGCCTGATGTTAAAGGGGCTCAGTCACGGTTTGCGCATATTGAAAAGTTTAGCCTCAATTTTTCAAATTCGTCGTCGTAATCCATGTTAATCTTCTCCATCCTTAGCCATCCTTGTTCCTTTATGGTTTATCATTATCTCTTTGGTGTTTTTCTATCTTATTAAACTGTTATTTTCAGGTTTCCTACCATTTAAAGGTAATTTTGTATGTGGCCAAAATAACTCAAAATACCGTGACTGAGCTCCTTTAAACGTTTTTAGCCCGACTACCAAGGTGTTTTGGGCGTCGATTGGTTGGAGAATTCGAGGCAACGCTGGAAATACGCAAGCTGGAGTGTATGAAAGAGAGAGGATTACTCGAGGGAATCAACATATTGGGTTTAACGCAACTCGAAGAGTTCCTGTTTCTGATTGTACCGTTGAGCAACACGCGAGGGATCGGCTTGGTGTAGCTTGTTTTAAGCCCTGTCTAAACTGTCTTCAACTGACGAAACACACGCACAAAGGCTAGTGGCCCGTAAGCCTTAACTACCACCCGCGGAGATTGGACCCGAAAAATTCCAAACTGATGACGTAGCTTTACGTTGTTCCGTGTAGTGTTCCTGATTGGTTGTTTGCCAGTTTTGAATTTTTACAAATCTGAGTGACACCAGTAATCTTTCGGGTCGAATCTCAGACGTTTGCAACCTTTTTTCCAGGGTCTCTCTCTTCTTCCCGTAGAAGGGAAGCCCAGGGTACGAGGTTGAGACTTTTCGAGTAGTAAAAGATCATGAGCGCTCGACTCATCATATATGTTTGTTGATCTAAACCAATTTTTAGCATGCCAGCGAAGTTTGATATTGACAGTACCACTAGAATCGCCAGCTTGATTTGAAAGCAGACTTAAAATTTCTATCTGGTATCAATAGACAGAACCAAATTGCTTTGTACAGAGTACGACAAGAAACCACTCTCTATATATACAGCCTCCACTATATATACAGCCTCCATTTGAATGGTCAGACCATCCTTTTACTTTGAAGTCGGAGCCATGTTAACAAACTAAACATTGCTACATAGCTTTCATTTGAACGGTCACTCACGAGGGTTTTCTCCACAAACTCGAAGTTTAAAACCAAGTTGTAAAGCGTTATAAACATTGCCACATGAAAATTTCCCTTGAATGGCCACAAACCAGGGTTGTGCGACAGACTAGGAAATGAAAATTACTTAATACAGAATAATAAACTGTACACTATAAAATACCGAAGCCGCTCAATTCTTTAATGAATGATCACTATGGACGAACTTCTGGTTTCCATCCAGACTGAAACAGTTAGTGTAATATTTGATATGTATTTCACATGTAAGAATTAGGTTAACTTCTTATTATTGAGAGGGTATCAACATAGATATTATTAAAGAATGAATAACTGAGCCAGAGTAGTCAACTGAAGTAAACTGAACTAAACAATGAACACCTCCGTGGCATGGCGGTGTGGATTCGAGCCACGGAAGCTTTCTCCTCCATAGGTTTTTCATTCTTAGCGCAAAGAGCAATTGGGAGACTGGAAGTGAGCAAGAAAGCGCGAGCGAGAGCTGGTGGTGAGTGAGGAGTGTGAGCGCGGGGAGCGATTGGAAGGGAAAAAATAGACTCGGCACTGCGCCCGCTCGCGCTTCTAACTAGTATTTTTTCCTGTACTTGGGACGAAGCAGCCACAGAAGAAGAATTGTTTAGGGGAAAGAGAAACAAGGTTTTTCAAACTGTTTCTGTTCTTCTCAGAGAGAAGGAACCGGGAATTAAGATACTCAGCGAATCTTGGTACGAAATAGAATCTACAAATGGGCTGGGAAGTAGGGAAGGTTAAGCGATATCGAGTATTCTCCTTCCCTCACCTATCCCCCACAAAGAGCCTGCCCGTAGGCCTATACCCTGCAATTTACTTTTGTTCATCTTATTTAACTGATGTCCTCTGAAACAGTTCTTAAAGGAGCTCAGTCACAGTTTGCGCATATTGAAAAGTTTAATTTCAATTTCTCAAATTCGTCGTTTGTAATCCGTGTTAGTCTTCTCCATCCTTAGCCATCCTTGTTCCTTTATGGTTTATCATTATCTCTTTGGTGTTTTTCTATCTTATTAAACTATTATTTTCAGGTTTCCTACCATTTAAAGGTAATTTTGTTTAACAAGGTATCACCTCGCGAAGACTGGCTCCAATTTTTTGGCCCTCGCCCCAATTTTCGCACGGCCAGAATACAAAAAATATTTCTGGAGATAACCTGAGTCTCCATGGCGACGCTGAAAACATTACGTAAGCAATATGAATCTAAGCCTGCGGTTCGTGTGCTTTCCTGAGTCCGTGGGAAAATTCCAGCCGCTTACTCATCAAAAAGATAATTAAAAAAAAAAAAAAAAAAAAAACCGGCTGAACTGCTTCCTCGCTATTTTTTTTTCGGGGATCAGCGTTATGCTCTCAGCATAGGAACAATTTTCTAGTTGAGAACAAGTTGCAGTTATTTGGCACCAGAATTTATCGGCTTGCAATCTTAAAAATACGACATTTTTAATTTTTTCCGATATTACGTAACCATTTTATCGTGATTCCGGTGATCATGAGTTTTGATTATGCAATTTTCATAAAAGAAAAGTTCATAAGCCCTGTTTGGGTACGTAGTTAATTTTTGTAGGCCAAACGGGAAACTGCTTTAGCTGAGTAACAATAAAGTCAACTCCTCTATTAGGAAATTACACTTTGAATTTGCGCATTTAATGGCCCATCGACCCTGTATTTAAAAATAACGCTAATTGAAGGTTAGAGTTATTTTTAATTCAAGTTCAACTGGTCGAAACTGAATAAATTTTACGGTAGATTACAGAATACATTTTGTAGATCAGCGTATTGACTTTCAGTTGTCGCAATTTGTTCGACTTGGGGACAAAAATTGTCAACGGAAAACAGAGACAACATATATAGTTGGCTCGAAGTAAACAACCCGGGGGGAGTACCTTGACTGCTATGAACGCACTCCCCACCTCTCTCGAATGATTTTGTAGAAGTTTCCCTCTCTAGTGGGGAACGTGTGGAAGACTCTATCCTTTCAGATCGAAATTTTCTTTATTTTCTTTGTAATTTCTTTGTATTTTTTATTATTTTCCTGCAAGGGGTCTGTCTTCGATAAATAAATACTAGGTCTCCCCCCAGAGTCACGAAAAAACATACTGTCCCCCCGGTTTAATTTATTTAGTGACTGCTTCCCACGGCTGCGCATTATCGATTCGAATCATTTCATCATTACTTAGGAAAATAGAACGATGGATAGAACAAAGGTTTTTTTTTTTCAATTGTAGCCAGCATAGCAGACAGAAAATGCGCTTAATTCTACTCTTCATTGTTTTGTATTTGGGAGGAGACCTTAAGAGTCCCCAGGGAGATTTAAATTGCATACCTGTCACATTTTTCTGTCATTAGAACACTCGATCACTTCAACGATTTGTCGCATTTTCGGTGATCGAGGATGCCGTTTGACGTTCAAAAATACAGATTAACTCACGATGATTTTAAATTTGCGTTATCTATCCCAGTTTTAGTGGTAGAAAATTGAATTTTCGCGTCTCTAGAACCACAACTTGTCACATGTATTTTGTTGTTGACTGCATTCTTGCATGCGGATGATTGACAGGTAATTAAGGCGACGAATCGTACCCACGCTAGCTCGGTTCACTGCATGCCAAACCCTCGAACACTATTTTGGATTCTTTCTCAGTTTAGAGCGAGCGTACAACTGACAAACGACTTCTGTAGCCGAAAAAAGCGACACTGGGTTGCGGCTTGTTCAACAGGTAAGCGTATTCGCTAGAAATGAGCCTGCTAAAGGTTGGAATTTTGTGTAAAACAGCATTAGCGGCCTTCCAGAAGCGCGCCATGTCCTTGGTAATATTGAAAAGCTTTATTGTTGTAATGCTTGTTTACCACCAAGGAGATTTGAGGGTTATTCGGTCTTTTTGGGTATCAAACTACCTGCCGGATTGCTGAATTTAGGTGAAAGTTTAGCTTTGTTCCATTGTTGAAGATTTTGCGATTTTATTTGTCGATTAAGAGTGATCGTTTTCGGGACGACTTGGATTTCTCGCTAAACAATAGGTCGCATTTGCAAGGCTAGCCTGTCTTTCCTTCAGTTCGGCAAAGAGTCCGCGTGTTTGATGCGTTTGCCTCGCCGACTAGTGCCAGAATTGAAGTCTTTTTTGCGCCATAAATGTGTTTAAATTGAAATAATGCCTTTCAAATATCCGACACACTTCTTTTTGATATTTTTCGGCAAATCGTACCTTGCGCATCGCCGCTACATATATAATCTACAGTAACTTCTTTCAATACCTTGACTGATTTCAGATGTCGGGAATGTGACGACATCGTTACAGAACACACCGGTCATTTTCCTCTCTTAATTAAATCCGATGCCTCGAAATTCGATGTGGTTTTTCGGTTCTTTTTCCATGCTTGTCTATTACCCAAAACACTGGTCTTTGACAGAGAAGCTCGCTGTGCGAGGCGGTCGTAATGGCCGATTTAGCTCATTATTTGTACCACAGGCGTTTGTAAACGTTATGAAAAATAATTTCTACCGCAGTTTTGTGCATTTTTATATAAGCTACAGAGTCATGTATGGCTTGTTCTCCTTTAACTGAAGGTGTACTTTTATTTGATACTAAAGCTTAGCTCACCTCCGGGATTTTGTCGATCGAATTCGAACTGCGATCTTTCAGACGTTCTAAAATTCGCGGCGGCAACCATAACTTGGGTTTCCTCTACCGAGATCCTGCCCTACTTCCGACGAACTAAAAGTAGACCTACTTTGTCAAGGATCGATCTACCGGCCGCTTTTTGAAACTAACTTGTAAAGGATATTTGCTAGTCGATCTCTACAACAAGACACATCTGCACTAGCTCAGTTTTATATTCTGTACACTTACAAACTTCATTCTAAATTACCTTCGATGTTTGTACCTTTGTAGGTAAGGTTTTCAACATCCACTCAGTAGATGCCATAAGAAGCAAAAGATTGGTAAGGAACTGAACTAAAAACATATAAGTTTAATAGCATCGTACAAAAACAATGTATAAGTTTACGTATTATTCGCAAGGAACTTATACGTTGGGCATAAGTTACTTATAACTATCATTGGGTATTCAATCACTTTTATTCTCCCGAGATTTCCGTTTGCTATAGTTTGTAAACGTTTGTAAGCGGCAATTTTGTTTGAAGAGACAAAAACCATGTTTGTCACGCTTTTTGAATCAAATTTTTCTAATGTCCGCTACGTAGTCTCTTGTTTACTTTGATGACAATGACATCTTTGATACGACTAGCAGATTTTTTTCCGTCGGAAGTCACGTTTCGAAAAAGTTATTTGAAATCGAACAACATCAATCAGATTGTCTACCTTGCATTTTGTCGGGAAACCAATGTAGATCTCTAAACCTTTTTATTTTGTAGCCCCATTGGAAATTTGCTTCAAGAAAGACAACTAGCTTGGCTCGGTGAAAAGGTGAGGTTATACATTTTCTCGTTTTTGCCACTTACTTTACTTTCCTATGAAACGTTCGATTCTTGTGTGGGCGTTTAGTTTTTCTTTTCGAAGAGGGACCTTTGAGAAACGTTTTGTTCTCTGTAATTTCTTATGTTCTGGTTCGTTGCACGGTGTATTAGCTCATATTCGTGACGCGAAATGAACACTCGAGGCCCTTTCGTTAAACCACTGTCTAAGTATACTCAATGCTATACGTATGTGACTGGAATTTCAATCGAGATATTAGCGATCACCTTGGAATTCCTGTTGCATTAGTTGTGAAATTTCTGGCTTATGCAAATAAATACTTCAAACATTTGGCAGTCATCAATATATTGCTTTTGAAGAGTTCTCTCAGACGCACTTGTATTGGATCATGGAGATTCATAAAACTAGCTTCGCTCATTTCTACAAATTGTCTCTTTATGAACAAAACCTTTTTTCCATCAAAAACTGTTTTCCCTATATTCTAAAGTAAAACAGATAAGTATTCAGGTCTTGTTTATTGTCTAGATCAAGCTTTTTATAGCGAAGATTTAGAATAGATCATGACATTAAATGCAACATTGAGTATTGAAGTTTATGGACCATTTTGACACAAACTATAAATGTTGTTTTGTGGCTTAGTTCTTGGCGTAATTCTTTGGCGTATTCTTAAATGGGGTCGTTCTTTGGTGTCGTTCTTTGGCGTAATCTCTTGTCACAGTGAATTCACTACCTTGGATAATAAACAGTAGGTGTTTTACAGACAATCCTGACACGGTTCATGAAATATGTCACTTCCTGACACTATAAAATTAATGCAAAATGAAATATTGGAAGTCCCTTATGCAGAAGAAACAATATCCTAAAGAAATTATTAGTAAATATAATTTTTGTTTTTCACTTAAGTCCATCAAAACTGAACTAGTGTTTTGAACACTGTTGTTTTTCAACAAAGTGTGCTTTTGAAAACACATTATCCGTCAACTAAGTATTGTTTTATTTAATAAGGTAGTGTTTTGTTGAGTAAGAAGAAAGCCAAGGGCATTTATATTTCAATTTCAGCTTGTAAATTGAAGGCTAGTGTCTATTAAACATTGTCTTCTCTCAGACTATTTCATGACCAGCATTAAACTTGAAAAATCAGGAATAACGATTTGTTCTCTTGAAACTCATCTTGAGTCTTGAAGAAACCGGTCAAATAACTCGCATGTCACTCAGACCACCCTTTTTTTATTGGTAATTTATGCTCATAGTTGTACAAATTTGTGGCACTTGCTTGCTCGTGTGTGCGTGTGTGTATGTGTGTTGTATTTATCAGGCAAACAGTATGTTCAGTTGAGCCTTGATGAATGGAAAACTCTAGAAGCGGTAAGCATTATCCTGTGACAATATTATTGAGTGGTTTGCTCCTAATGTTGCCACAGTTTTGGTGAAGTGCATATATGTAAATTGAATTCCAGTGAATGTAATTAAGCTTGGCCTTTTCAATCCTGACTTTTGTTTGCACTGAACAAGTTACTCTTGGTTTGAATTGTGTACCCATTTACAGAGCTGTACAGTAAGTAGATCTACATGTACTAATAATTCAAAGCAGTTTAGAAATTGTTAGAGTTATTTTAAAGTATTTGACCAAATGAAAGATAAAAGCAATGTTGGTTGTTACATAACTCATATGGTATTAGAAGTAGCCACTGACAGTAGGCATACGCTATTGAAAAAGTTGACTAAAGTTGTCAGTAACTCATATTGTAGTAAAACCTGCAGAACACTGTTAACTGCCGCTTATAAGCGCTGGGCTTATATACATTTTCGTAAGGGTTTTTAGATGGGCCTTTAAACGGAGGGGCTTGTATCTGAGGGGGCTTATAACCGGAATTAAATAAATGTTTTGAAATGAGCTATGCTCTGCACATGTTGGTCGCAATAGATTTTTCATTTAATACTGGTAATTTAGCTTTAAAATATCACAATAAAATAAATTCAAAACAAGGAAAGCTAGGGGGCAGGGGGGGGGGTGTTTATATCTGGGGTTGGGAGGTGGGATTGTAACTGGATGGAATTTTTCGTGTACAGGTATATAGGCCTATAACTAGGTAGAATCATAAGTGAAGCGGCTTATAAGTGGCAGTTTATGGTATGAGTCTGAGACAGACTTCATCAACTGTTTGAACCGTGTCGTCTCCTGACTACAGCTAGTCCAGAAGTGTACATCATGTTGAGCAACTTTTGTCAACATTATATTATGTAGATACTTCATAATTAAAAGTAGATGGCCACAGAAGCTATTTTGAAGTATTTGACCAAAGTTAAAAACAAAGTTGGTAGTTGTTAAGCCATTGACTCCGGTGCTGCCTGTAACCGCCTGAGCGAAAAACCCCTTCAATTTCCCGTGCCACCTGTAACCGCCTGAAAAAAAAAAAGCACATGGGGACAGTAGCCTTTCCTACCCTCCCTGAAGACTTTGTAGGTCTCTTATTGTTCTATTGTTCTTGCGGACAAATAAACCAATCAGAATCTACTTACTGAGCATGTTTGTAGTGGACTCTAGGGGTCCTAGAAAGACGGTTTTTCTTCTTAAAATTGTGCACTCATAAAGTACAGGTTATCATGGCGCACTGGGGGCAAAATCTACAAACTTCAAAGGCTTTGTTTTCATTCCTAACATGGAGAAATTACTGCTTTGGGATTTAAAATAGGAAAGAAAAATACAAATTAATGTTTAGGTGGCCTCAGAATGGAAGATCAAGGAGTACAGAGTCCTCAAACCTTTCTGTTGAAGAATTTTTTTCTTCCTTCAACCGCCGCAAAAACATGACGATTGTTGCACTTTCAAGTGGTAATGTACATTATTGCATCAAAGTTGAATTGAACTTTTGGAATGACTGGTAGTGCAATGGCCGAAAAATGACAGCAAAAGTTTTCGGCAATTTTAGGTTTTAAAAGTGAACAGTATTTTTGCACGCTGGATTTCTGCATGTGTAATTTACGGCAACCTCCACGGGTTTTTTGATTAGTTATTCGCTTATTTCAAATATGTTTTTTGGAGTCTTATTCAGCTACTACAGAACTGCAGAGAAAAGAACTAAGTGGCCACTAATTTAGCACAGTTGAAATACAATTGATCTCAAAATAATTAGCTTGTTTTTGTCATCTTTTTGACTTGCAACTTTGATCTTTCTTTTGTAGCGCTGTAATGTTTCGTCACACAGCAAAGAAATTATTTGATTTCTTGATTTCAAATTGGTTTTTTCATGTGCTTTTCGCATTTATTTTCCATTGTTTTCTCAAATGCTAACTGTTATAGTACAAGAATGGAAATTCTATTGTATTCATTGCTTATAGTTTTGTGTACTTGTGAAAACCAGTTGCCTTCCTGCTGAACACGTTAATGACACCCCTGAAACATTTCATTGTAGTTGAAAGTGAAGTGAAAGACTTTATTTAATGAGGGTGACCCGTGACAGTAACTTAAGTTACTGATAAACTTGGGGCCCTCAGCTTAAAATAATTAGAATGCTAAAAATATATTATTTACAATAAAATGCTAAAATACGATATTATTTACAATAAAATACTTTATTAAGTTACTATTAAAAATGGTTACAAATAATAAACTGGACTTACAATTTCAAACATACTACGAATAATAAGAGTTCAAAAATTCCATTAGTTTTCTGAGAGTTAAGAATAGTATTACATAATTTAGCCTTAAA